TATACTGGTCTTTTAAATGTCCTTGAATATCTTATTTGAAGCATGTGATCAAATCTCCTCCTTTTCCACTGGAACAGAAAAGAGATTGAATTTGCTAAAAAAAAAAAAAAAAAAAAAAAAAAAAAAGGATCCTAATACTACCATCTCACACTGTTTATCCTTAACAGTTAAAAAATATTTTCATATTATTAGATTTCCCCAATAACATCATGAAGTGTATGGGGAAGCCATCATGTATATTCTCATTGTGCTTGTGAGGAAACTGAGGGAGCTGTTATCTACCTTGAATGGTGGTATTTTGGACTTGATTCTGGATCAATGCACCATTTCTCTCAATGAACCACCCCCAGGTGTGAGGAGGTGAACTGTTGATTGTGGCTAAAGTGACCCCTACTTAGTGCCAGAAGAGAGCTAGGTCTGTTGCTAGGTCTCTTGTATTCAGTTTGCTCCCCAAAAGTTCCTAATTGCTTTTACCTCTGATTTCGTCTCAAGTATAGTACTAGAGCAAAACTGGGGAAAAGGAGAAAGTAGCAAGGGCCAACACTCCAGAGCCATCCCCTCTCCCTCTCTCTCTTTAAAATGCCTTTCTGTACCCTCCCACTCACCCCAATCAACAGAAGTTTGTAAATCACAAACTGGGCTTCCTTTATCAGTTAATAATTATCTTTAATAAACTGAGTTAGATTTCATTTTTTAGAACAAAATCTAGTTTTAACTCTAAGACTAACCTGCAGGTAAAAAAAAATGATTTTCCTCTTAATATTTTTGCCCAGCTCTTCCAAATCCAGTGAGTAACCAAAGCTCCCTAACTGTAGCATTGTGCTCTATGTGGCAGGCTCCCTCAACTTCCCCTGGCAACTCTCAACTTTTCCAACTTTGCAGCTACTCCTCCCATTTGCCTTGATCCACATGATCTTCTTCCTGCTCTATCTCTAGGCAATGGATACTAAATCGAGTAGTATTGTTTGTGACCATTAACTCATTGCAAAACCCCACACTTGGCTTCACCCAACCATTCATGATACTTGTTTCAGGACACAGTTGTCCCTCTTAGATATGCATGTTCCCTTTATTAGCTATTTCTTAGCTAGAGGTTCTTTTCGGTTGGTAACTCAAATCCCTAGATTTGATTCTGTTTGCTGAATTTCTTAATATGTGGTTATTAACTAAAGACTCTATCTTCTTCACAGTTGGTGTAGCAAGATATCAAAGAAGGAACAGTCCTTTCTTCGCTCTCCTACTCTCTGATAGGACAACTTGTATATGACAAATTTAACTTACAAATTTCTGGATTTTTAAAAGTTTTCTAAGGGTTAAATGGTGAACCCTAGAATGTCAAAGGTTCTGATTCTTCCATGATCATCAAATTATGGAAATAAAAAACCTTTTTAATATCCACCATGACAATAAATTCTAGGCAAAGTGCTTCAAAGTTAGTTATTATGTTTGCTTTGAAGGGTTTTCCTTATTTGAGCTAAACAAACAAACAAACAAGCAAACAAACAAACACCTCCTTTAAAAAAGGCAGTGACCAAAAGAAGCAGCGTGATGTGATGGAAAGCTGCACACTAGATCTAACATTATACAGACTGGGGTTTGAGTTGGCTTTGCAAGTATCTAGCTGCCCTTTCTCTGAGCTGCCATTTCTGCAGATACAAAATAAAGGTACAGATAATGTCTACTAAATGTAACTGCCATGAAGAGATTTTGAACTTAAATGTATCTTTCAAACAATGACTTGGCATATAGACATTAATTTTCTACATAAGACATTTATTCATTCAACAACTATTTCCTGAACAACGGTTGTGTGCCCAGCTTTGTGCCAGGCAATGAGGTGGCTTACAGTGTATACCTTGCATTTATGGAGCCCTTTCTACTTATTCAAAATAATTTTTAAAAATATGTTTTTATTGACTTTGGAAACAGAAGAAGGGAGAGGGATAGAGAGATGGAACAGAGAAACATCAGTTGGCTGCCTCCTGAACCCCCTCCACTGGGGATCAAACCCCAAACCCAGGCATGTGTCCAGACCAGGAATCAAATAGGGGACCTCTCTCAGTTCCAGGGTAGAAATTCAACCAGTAAGCACACCATCTGGGCTTCAAAATATTTTTTTACACTACCGATCTCATTAGGTACAGCCACAGTGTAAGAAGGGCAGCATAGTCTGCTTGTTGCTTTACTGTCTCTATATCTTTCTTTTGGTTCATCAGTTTATAATGTTCTTTATTATCCATAAATGAGTGAGGTCATGTGTGTTTCTCTTTCATTGATTGGCTTATTTCACTCAGCAGACTGTCAACTACAGTGGGGAGGGGAGGAAGATCTGGGGGAGGTAAGAGATCAACCGAAGGACTTGTATATATGCATATAAGTATAACAAATGGATATAAAACTCTGGGGAGGGAGGGTATGTATGGAAGGGAGGGAGGGGGCAAAAAAATCAATAAAATATATTTAAAAAAAAGAAGGGCAGCATAGATAACCCTATTCTCCCAATGTAAAATTTGAGGCACAAAGAAACCAAAGCCACAGAAAATGGAACATAGTTGTGTTATACCTAGTCAGAATAGGGGTTAATTCTACTTTGCAAATCTAATGGGACATGGGACTATAGTTGTACTCTAATGGATATCTATCAAAATATAGGCTGATAGCTACTATTCCTTATTTACTGTAAACTCACAAATACAAGTCAAAAGGCTTGACCTATCCATACCAGCTGTACATTATGTCTCTGAAAGAGCCTACTGGGATATACTGTTTTTTTTTTTTTTTAATTGAACCTGATTTTCCTTGCAATTAATACTGCTTCCCTCTGTAGACAGGCCTTCTTTTCATAAGCATGATCCCTTTTGCAGGTTCCTGCTCGCATAGGCAGTAGGAGGGGAGACTGATGAGGCAGAGGGCCTTCCCAAGAACAGGAAATACTAATTTATCCAAAATGATTAGGGACTAGGAAGTTCTGGCAAACTAAATATTCTAATCGCTCCAGAATATCCTCCATTTATAGTCCTCAGCATCTGGCAACCTACCAAAACTTTCTTGCTTGCTTTCAGGGAGAGCAAGAGGCACAGTACTATTTATTTTAAGTTTGAACACATGCAAAAACGGGGGTCCATTTGTAACAGGCTCCACAAAGGAGCGTGAGCAAACATTCAGATTGTCTCTGATGCTGCTTAATGGAAAATTATTACTGATACTATCCATAACTTCAAACACAGTGAAATATACTTAAATTTTAAATAATAAAAGCAACCCACATGTGATAACTGAAGGCATTTTTTATATTTTGCAGTGTCCTGTAGCCTTCAATCTGAAAATAAACAAAAACAAAAACAAAACAAAACAAAAAAACCCACACACACCAAAATCACAACAAAACAATTGTTAACAAATAAGATTTGGAAACAACCTAAATGCCCATCAGCAGATGAGTGGATTAGGAAACTATGGTACATCTACACAGTGAAATACTACACTGCTATAAAAAAAAGGAATTCTTACCATTTGCAGTAGCTTGGATGGAACTGGAGAGCATTACCTAAGTGAAATAAAATTAGGAAAAAATTGTGGTTATTTCCAGCTTCTTATTATTTGGGTTTAGGAAAATGGTAAGCTTGTTTATATATATTGTAGGTTGCAAAGAACATTAATTTTTTTTTTACGTTTCTTAAATAGGAAGACTTCTTTACCAATAAGGAATTTCAATTTAATACTGAAATAACATAAAATAAAATAGTAAAGAGGTCTGATTAATATTACACTTTTTATAAAATTGCAACTGCCACTTTATTAAATGGGTTTTGAGTTATATTATCTACATAGATACTTTTTAAAGTGATAACTACCCTTTTTTCAAATCTTATCCATTTTATAGCACATACTCTATCCTTATAATTTTTATTTTCAACCCACATGTGATAATATAATATAAAAATCATTATTCTTAAAATATATTTTTGAAATATTTTGTGCCATCCAAATTTCCCAAACCCCCTCTTATCTACCATTGAATGTCAGCAGATCATTAAAATCATTTCAAATCTATCTTTGTGGATCAAGCAAAGGCATTGAAAACCTATTATCACACTGGAGTTATTTAAAATCAAATTTGCCTTTCAAATTGTCCTCATAAAAATTGGTTATTTGGGACATTTGGGTGTGAGGTACTCTTATACACATTGTCTAAAGAGCCACACTATATTAATTCTCTATTTAGTCATGTGAGATTTTTTTTTAAAGAAAAGAAAGCAAATGTGTATTGCTATGGGATAAGAACCTAGGGTCCACCAAATTGGTGTAGTTGAATTTTGGAGTCTGCCTTTTATCAAGGGCAAATGATTGCACATTAGACTTTGAGGAAGAGATTACATAAAATTTTTCTATCTTTAATTGTCTTTGGATGCCATCTGCTGAGTTCTGTTTCTTGTATTAGCCTTTCTAAGCAGTAATAAAATTGCAAAACTCTTTAACAATAAAAGAGAAGGAACTGTGTAAAAGGGCTTGCTAGAAGTGAAAGCGGTTGCTTCTCCCCTCAAGCACAAAGTGTGTGGCTCTTCAGGACACCAACTTATTCTGAATATAGTAAACCACAAATTTAATTTTTTTTTGCTTTGAACTCCTTTCAGCCAGTATAAAATGGAAAATTGTCCTTTAAATTATAATGACTCACATTTAACTAATAATCTTAACATTTATTATATATTTTTCCAATAATATTATTAAGGCCCATATTTTCTTGTTTGATAAAAAACTGAGACCCCAGAGTGGTTTGGGTGCTTTATCCAAAGTCTCTAATTAGTTGCAGAGTCTGAACTCTCTCCTTTGTCTGAAAATGGTGATTTTTCCATTAAAGTGAAACTTGAAGTGCCTACTTTTGGTAATAAATCATTGGGATAACTATCACTTGTCTAATCAGGTAATCTTTAAAAGACTCAAGAACTTCTTCCTCTAACAACATTTTTTTTCTCTCATTCTAGACATAGTTCGACACTATGGGTCCTCCTCTGAAGCTCTTCAAAAACCAGAAGTACCTGGAACTGAAACAGGAATGCATCAAAGATGGTATACTTTTCTGTGATCCAACGTTTTTGCCTGAGAATGACTCACTTTTTTACAACCGACTGCTTCCTGGTAAGGTAGTGTGGAAACGTCCCCAGGTAAGTTTCTTTTTGCAATTTCTGACTCCCACTTTATTTCAATTATGCAGTAACTACTTGGTCCAATATTTCACTCACACAGTCTACTGCATGTAGACTAACTTAGAAAACAATTTTAATAGGGGAAGTTTTAAGAATCTGTGTTTCTGACTATAACTTGAGGAATCTTGAACTTCAGTCAAATTTTGTCAGGTTTAGTAATTTTCAAAAAGCACAAAAGATATATACCATTTTTGTTTTCTTTGGAAGTTCATTTGAGTAAACATGGTAACTCAGAAAGCAATTATACATTTTACTAAGTTGCCTATCACAGCGACTTTATGATAATTTCAGACCTAGGAGAAGGAAAGTTCCTTATATGCTGAGCATACATAAAATTAACTCTATAGAAAGAAGATGGAGCTTGCAATGGGAGAATAAGGCTTCTTTGCTGCTATTTGGATACCATCATCTGTATCCTCCTACAATCAGCAAAGTTAGATTCAAGTAGGACTGCAGCTCTTTCACCACCTATTAATATGGTTCTTTGTGGAGCATCTGTATGTTGTCTCTAAAGCAAGTCTTTTTAAGTCTTCACAAGCCCTTTGGAGTGGGAGCTCAGTGCATAAAATGACAGAAAGATGGATTCTAGAGAATAAATGACAACCTTTCTATATCTAAAGGGTATTAACTGTATAGAAAGATATACTAGCTGGGTTCTTTCCCGAAGTTTATGACCAGAAATATAAGCCACAGAGGACTGTTATGAAATAGAAATTCTTGGATCTTCACAGTATCTTGAAGACTTTCTGATTCTATTTAATCACATATCTTTTGGGACACTATTATTGAACCACCTCAGTTAGCAGGTTAAGGTTTGCCTTCTTTAATGAGCAGCTATCACGTTTTATTTGCAATTTCCACAACTTAAATTACTAAATATAGTTCTTATAAGAGCTACTTCAGTTTATGTAGGTTGCCACCAGGTGGTGCCAAGATATATCAGCTAAGGCTCTTGTTTTCTAGGAGATTCAAAAGAGGTCTTTTTTTTAATTTATTTTTTATTTTTCATTTACAGTTTACATTAAATATTGTTTTGTATAGGCTTCAGGTGTATAGTTAGTGGTAAAACAATTATATACTTTACATAGTGTTCCTCTTGATATTTCCAGTACCCAGTTGGCACCATACATATTTATTACAATTTCATTGACTATATTTTCTATGCTTTACATCCTCGTGACTTAACTATCAATTTGTACTTCTTAACCCCTTCACCCTTTTCTCCAAGTCCCCCAACCTCTATCCCCTCAGGCAATCGCCAGTTTGCTCTCTGTATTTATGAATCTGTTTCAATTTTGTTTGTTCATTTATTTTGTCCTTTGGATTCCATATATAAGTGAAATCATATGGTATCTATTTTTCTCTGACTGACTTATTTCACTGAGCATAATACCCTTTAGGTTCATGTCTCAGTTTTTTCCCCCATTAAGTATGATAGCCATTGAGAGTATGAGACCTGGAGAAGTCGTTCCATCAGAAGGAAGATTATACTTCTTCTGACTTTATGTGCCTCCTGTTTCTTACATTCCTGCATATCAGTCACCTGCAATAAAATCTGGGAAATGTGAGTAGAATTCACTAGCCATTAATTGAGTATGGAGAGAGGTAATATTTCTTTCCAGAAATGCATGAAGAAAATATAACTGTATTGTCTAGAGCCACGCCACTGTTATGAATGGATGATGGTAATGAGGGGCACTATTCTTTTATGATGTTGGATATAAAAGAAAGTAAATCAGTAAGTTGGAAGTAGCTGAAACGGAGGAAGGCATTGGAGGGAGGTTTTTCTGGGGGTTAATAAATAGAACATATTCATAGTCTAAGCAATAAATAGTAAAGCAGAAGAGGTTGAAGTTGCAGAAGAAAGAAAATAACGATTGATGATTGATAATTGAAGGAATGAATGATTCTTGGAGGAATTGGGAGGAAATCCAATGGGGGACAAAATTGCAAGCCAACATGAAGCCATTCCTCAGATGTGAACCAAGCCAACAGTGCTTCCTGTACTGGCCAGTCTTTTAGCACATCCTTCCTCTGTCTTGGCTAAGTCTTTTGCCCTCATATTCCAAATTCTGTGGATTGAATCCTAGATGAATTATCAGGGAAGGAAAAAACTTAATAACTGTGGCAATAGTCCATTTTTCCTGTGAGGCAAGCAATACTTCTTCCAGAGTGAGGGAATGTCAGAAAGAGAGGGTAAATGGGGGTGAACATTAAAAGAATCAGCATTTATGGCATATCTACTTTGGGCCCGGGTATGTTTTTAGAGTTTCCTATACATTTCTCATTTCATCCTTATTTGCCATAACTTAGCAAGGTAGATAACTTAAAAATCATTTTGATATAATTTTTTCAGGTTTAAAAAGTAAAAGTTGATTCTATGTCCATTTTATGCATGAGAAAACTGGGTCTCAGAGAGAAGATAATATTTTTTTCCAGGATCAGACTGTTAACATGCTAGAATTTGAGTCCTATTTTGACTACAAAGCCCACATTATTTTTCACCAAGCTGCCATTTTAGGGACATAGAATTGTGTGTCTCTTTTACTAAAATGTAAAGTTTTCCAATCAGTTTTCCTCACTGTCCCAGTGCTGTTCATAATTAACCCATATTATCCATTTGGAGAACATACAGTGAGTTTAGTCTTAATTAAGCCCAAAGGGAGAAGCACTTGAAAAACATTCTATGTCAGTTTCTGTGCAAGATACATACTTTCATTCTAGTAGAAGAGATGGATATTAAGTTATCAAAGAGTTAAATAATTAATGCCAGATATGAGAAATGTTATTTTCAAGCATATAAGTAATAAATCATGTAATATTCTGAAGAAGGAGAGATCTTTGTGGATTAAAGTGGTTGGAAAGGGTGCCTCTTATGGAAAGTAGGGGGAATATAAGGTTCTGAACCACCATCTGAGTATCCTAAAAAAGGTTTGGATTCCTTTTCAGTCAGTGTGGAGGCCAAACCTGTGGTCAAGAATCACGTCAAAGTTCTTTGGCCTCCCATCAGGAAATTTGAGAGACAGCCATGGGCCTCTCTGAATTGGCTCAAGAAGACCATATGGGTCTTTGGCCTCACCCACCTCATTGGCAAGGTTGAAATCCTGGTTTGCAGAGAAGCTTACAGACTTCTTGTCCCTTGGCATGCCACATAGCCACATACTCAACCAAGCCTATTTGGAAATCTCTAAAATGGAAGAAGCATGATTAACTTGATAGTTTCTCTTCTCCCATCTTGAAAATCCCCTGTCTTCATAGGTCCCAATGCGTGTAATCATCGCTGGTAATTGAAACAAATAACACAAATCAATCCCTGCCATATTAGGGTAGGATTGAGTTCCCCTTATTCCAACTTGCAGCTTCCTTGCTATGAACTAAATTTTTCAATTGATTAATACTCATACCCTTCAGAGGAAAATACTTTGCCTTAATTTATCCAGTGGTCCCATGGCCCTACCTTACTGGGTACACAGGTATATTGCCTGAGACATGTACTCCTGGATTTCCTATACTCCTTGGGTCTTCAACCTTATAAAGTCTTAGTGAATTCTAAAAGCTGAGTTTTACTGAATTACAGTGTGATTATAAGACTGAAGGTAAGATGTTTATGCTTAAATCTGTCCACAACATTCCCACACGAAATATCTTCCCCAACTTCCTTCAGCCACCCTTCCTTCTTACCCATCTTTGGCTTTTTACCGGGATGACTTATACTCAGCTACAATAGTGTCTTATAGGAATATGCATCTAATCTCAAACTGAAATGGAGCAAGGCTCATGGAAATTTGCATAATCTGCTGTAGGAGAAGCATGTGTACCTGCACCAGAGCTCTTTTTTTTTAAATTCAGTTTTGAATTCAGTTTTCACTATCATTGTTTTTTATCACATCTCTCACTAGGCAATACTTTTCATCCGGGTTATTTCAATACATTGTATAGGAGGAGGCTGGTGAGGTTCTGGATTAAAATAAAGACGATAGGAATAGAAGAGAAAGGTTGATGAGGGGAGACATTAGAAACAGATGACACAGGCCTCTATGATAGATTGCATGTGAAGGAATGGTAAAAGAGGAAAGACTTCTCCCTTTGTGCTAATGGAAATTGCCAACACCCAGCTGAATGTAACTCCTCTTCACAGTAGTTTTGGCCTCAACTGTTCATAAGTTTATTTTTCTTCTCATAGATAATGCCCTCTACCACCTGAGTAGTCCTAAATATTTTCCACTGTTGATACATTTGAAGGCAATTGAATAGGCCTATACTCTCCATCTATCCTACTTATTTTGAATTTTGCTTAAAAGAAAAACCTAACAGCTTTATCAAAATGCAATTTATATACCATAAAATTCACCTGCTTTAAAGATAATTTATATACCATAAAATTCACCTGCTTTAAAAAGAGCTCTGGTGCAGGTACACATGCTTCTACTATATGCATTGATTTTTTTTTAGTAAATTTACAGGTTGTGCAAACATCCTCACAATCCAATTTTAGAACAACTGTATCATCCCAATAAGATACCTTGTGCCCATTTGCAATGAGTAAATAGATCCTACCCCTAACACAAGCAATCACTAATCTACTTTTAATTTCTATCTAGATTTGCCTATTCTGAGCATTTTACTTCAAATAGAATCATAAAACTAGCTGACTTCTTTTGCTTAGCATAATGTTTTCAATGGTCATCTACTGTATATTGTTGCATGTCTCAGTTTGTTCCTTTTTATTGCTAGACAGTATTCCATTGCATGAATATATAAACTCTTCCAAATAAAGCAGTTTGGGGTTTATATCTGAAGTCTCCTAACAGAAGTTTGATGATTCAAATGAAAAAAAAGATTATGTTGTGACTTGGTTATCTGGGTTGGAAGTGGAAGTTGAGCTTAAGACCTTATTCTGAGGTTCCATTTTCTATTTCCCTTGGAGGGGTTAGAAAGGAAGAGGATGTTTCACTGATGGCAATGCAGAAGCAAAATGCCTCAGCAGCTAAAATGGACTTCTTGAGAGACTGGTTCAACAATAGTTCCTGCACCTATGTTCATCTATCAATGTCCTATCTGTGAATGATTCAGTATTCTAAGGCTAATATAATGGTACCTTGGACTAGCTCACATAACCCACAGGTCTTGAATGGCAGCCTTGAACCTTCTGGGACTACTTAGAGCCCTGAACTTAGTCATAATATACCTATTACAAGGCTGGCCTCACTTATAGTTACCATGCCACCATCACCTTAGTATTGGTTTTAAAATGTCTCCACTTTTTAAAGTGTCTCCACTCTTCTGGTTGCTGGTTTTCTAGGCAGGCATTTATTTTAATCACCATTTATTGTCTTCAAATTGTACCTTTGTTAAAACAAATTCTAGTGATGTGGATATGGTAAGTGCAAAGAGAGTCACACAGAGTGCAGGGCTCCAAGAATTGTAATTCCATGTCTCTCTACCCCTCCCAGAGATATTGGCAAGGGAGAGTATGTGAGGACAAATGGGAGGGTCTCTCAGTGTTCAGCTAAAAGAACATATTTCCAGAGAAGCTGCTTTTTTTGGAAGGCTTTGGGTCAGGCATGAGTATATGAAGGAACCATTCTTGGCTTTACTTTTAGTTCTTGACTTCCTATTTGTGTGTATTTTACCCATAAGAATTATTTTGCCTTGACAAAAAGCCCAGTTCAAGGATCATGTTAACTATGCCAACACAGCTGGGAGCCATTAAGGGCTCAGCAATCATCCCTCCCTTTCAAGCCACCCAAATATGTGACTGTGTGAGCTATGACCTCTCCCACAACTCCACTCCCTACTACTTTTAGATTTGCATTGGCTCATTACCCTTTACTCTTTCTACCTCTTTAGTTGCTTTCTAGTTTTTTTTTACTTCCTTAAAGAGGTAGAAAATATGACTTAGTAATGATTTGCTCCCATGTTTTACATTATAATGCTGACATACAGAATTGATTGATTCATATTTAGTGTATTAAATAGAGAAGATTAAATCTTATTAATGAGGTTTTGCCTGAACCCAAAAGCTAAGATATGTTTTAAGCAAGTCTTTCAGAACAATTGAGAGCTTTTGTTTGTTATAAGAAAATAAGCATAAAAAAGGGATTGCTGACTGAAAGAGGTAGTTGCAGGTCTGTCCCTGAAAAGCTACACAGTATTACCCTTTATGTGGTGCCCATTGATAAATCTAATAGCAAAAGGATGTACCAATTAAGGTGTAGGGTTTCTTCTTTAACTGTATATGGTTTTAATAACTTAAAACTTCAATTCTAGGCCTAGTAACTAGCTGGATAATTGAAGGGGTACATTACTGCCCTTCTCTGAGCCTGATTCCTCATTTATATAATGAACAGGTTAACTAAATAGTCCCTAAAATTTATTCCATATTTGAAAATCTATAGACTGCTAACTTACTATATTTTAAAACCCACTGTTAAATAGCCATCCTTCAATTTAATTTCTATTTACATGTCTTTTTGCTCATTTATGTGACCTTTTATATATTGAATAGAAGATGGCATGCCAAAATGTTGGCTGAGCCTAGATCTTTAGTGTGAAATGAAAGCCTTGTATGAATTGAAGGCACTGTAATGTAAACCTAATTATTAATAACTCCACATAAAACTAGAAAATAAAATGTGTTAATGATCTAAAAGATACTTTTTTACATATCAATGTTTACTGTACTGTTTTTCCATACAAAAAAAACTATTGCATGCATTGTTTCAGTCTGATAAATCATTGTATATCTTTACATCTTGTGCAAAATAAAATGGTAACACTTGATATATAAAGGAAAAACTCTGTTTAGTTTCATCTTAAGGAGAGCAAAGAAACAATAAGAGAAAAAATATCAGGATATAGTTCATCCAACACACCCACTTTACATTTATTAAGTGAAAAACCAGGCATCTCTCAACCCACAACATAATAGTATGGTAGAAGTCTTTCCTAATACACAAAAGTAACGATGAGACACTAGACATGCATTAAAAACCAAACACAGAAAATCCAAAGCTGACAACCTACCTAACCTCCTTTTGGCAGAGGGTCATCCAATTAATCTTCAGTTTGGACTTGTTTCTGTCCAGAATGCTTATTCCTTTTCAGAGTTATTTTGGCTTTTAAAGAATAGATGGAATGTTTCATTTTGTAGACCAGACTCTTCATCAAGGAGAATTATGTCCATTAAAAAAAGGTTTGAAAATCAGAAAAATATAGCTGTCTCTCTTTAATAATTTTAAATGAATGTAGGTCTAGATTTCTTTCTATTTGAGACTTGTTTTTGTTGGGTAAGCAGAATGTCAAAGTACTGGCAAATGGCCTCCTCTAGGAAGCTTTCTTCATCTTCTTAAGACTTCATTGGTATTTTCTGCTTTTTATCTATGCAAGTGCTGATCCTCTGAGTCACACAATCATATATTCAATTATATGATGTCACATATGTAGCTATACATTTGTCCATGCTTGTCTTTCTACCCATGATGTTTTCATATCCTTCCCTTGTCCAATTGCCTAACTCTAATGTTTCCTAAGGCTTCAACTTGAGCATTCCTATTCCAATTCAATCTATTCACCAGGGAAACTTTGGGGTCCTTCCTATAGACCAGTGGTTCTCAACCTATCTAATGCTGTGGCCCTTTACTACAGTTCTTCATGTTGTGGTGACCCCCAATTAAATTATTTTTTGTTGCTACTTCATAGGTTGAGAATTCCACAGGTTGAGAATCCCTGCTGTAGAGCCTAAGACCATCAGAAAACACAGATATTTACATTATGATTCATTAACAGTAGCTAAATGACAGTTATGAAGTAGCAATGAAAATAATTTTATGGTTGGGGGTCACCACAACATGAGGAACTGTATTAAAGGGTCACAGCATTAGAAAGGTTAAGAACCACTGCTCTAGACAATGATTATACTTTGAAAATGCCTCAAATCTGTCTTCATTACATTTTTTTGTAATTGTGTTATTTGGATCTAATTTTCCTACTCACAGTGGGAATGGCACTGCTAATGATATGTTGGGGAACACACACACACACACACACACACACACACACACACAAATGCTACCCCCACTCTATCCAGGTTCCCTCAAAATATCCATTGTGGGAATAGAGTGTATGTTGAAATGCTCCTGTGACTGGTCTATTACCACCTGCTATTAGTGCTTCTGCCATCTATATTTATCCAAAAATGTGGAAAAATCTAGTTGCCATCGAGATGGCTGTTGCCTTTGCTTTATGTTAGGAAAAGTCTTCATGTAAAAGGATTCTAAAGAATTTTTCTAGAGAGGAAGAAACATTTATATTCACCTCCACCAGGACTTGCCTCTTAAATTTAGTCAACTTTATAAACACAACTGCTTAAAAAAATCTCCTCCTGACAAATAGGATCAGAATATAATAAGCTAGATCCTAGTTCTCCTCTTTAAAAGCTCACTGCTCTGCTAAAAACTCTTCCAAACTCCAGTGATAGCTATGCCTGAGAGCCCAGACTAGTACATCTCATCCTTTCTCCTTCCATTTCTCTTGCCACTTCCCCTCATTACACTTTTTCTGTGTCTAGATGATCTACTGCTTTGTAGGGTTTTTGTTATTGTTTTTACTGCTTTGTGCTTTTGCTCACAACCCCAGAACTTCCCTTTGTTTCACCTATTTAAATTCTAGTCATCTTTCAACCCCACCTCTTCTACCCTTCCTAGCTCAGCTCACTTTGGCTCTTTGGAAATACTTTCCAGATTCTAAGAACCAATTGTTATATCCACAGGACATCTGTGATGACCCCCGTCTGATTGTGGGCAACATCAGCAACCACCAGCTGATCCAAGGGCGACTAGGACACAAGCCAATGGTCTCTGCATTCTCCTGTTTGGCTGTCCAGGAGTGTCACTGGACAAAGGTATTGCTTCTCCTATGGGACCTTACTCAGTTTTCACCTTCTTGTCTTCTTTAATAATTTCAGTAAAAGTCAACTTGTAACTTTATAGATTGTCTAATTCTTAAAATCAGACTAATAACTAGGTAATTTCCTTCTATTTTATTATGAGATTTATTATGAATATAAGAAACTGAAAGAATTTTACAGTAAATATCTGTATACACCCCAAATTCCGCCATTAAGATTTTCATCTGTATGATTTTTCACATGTATTTGTTGATCTTTTATCACTTGCAGTGTTTTGACCCATATCTCTGCATACTTGTATTGTCTGTACACACTGGAGTATAAAGCTAGTAAGGGCCAGGAATAACTGAAATGTGATAAAGATGGAATTAGATCTTTGAAGAAGTTCTCAGAAGTTAGTAAGACTAAAACGTTTCTGCCCTACCTGGTTTGGCTCAGTGGATAGAATGTTGGCTACGGACTGAAGGATACCAGGTTTGATTTTGGTCAAGGGCACATGCTGGGGTTTCAGATTAGATCCCCAGTAGTGGATGTGCAGGAGACAGCTGATGGATGATTCTCTCTCATCATTGATGTTTCTATCTCTCTCTCTCCCTCTCTGAAGTCAATAAAACTATATCTTTAAAAAATGACGAGTAAAACTTTTTTTGGCATTTAGTTAGAATTCAGGGCAACAAAGCGTTGAATTTGGTACCAATTAGAGTATTTTATTTAGAAAAATAATTTTGTAGACTACTGTGTAATTGATTGAAATTTAGAATTTTCTAAATGTGATTTTACTCAAGTTGTGATTGAAATCTATATTCTACAATGAACTTTTAAAAAATGAAACCACCGGAGACCTTGTGTTTTGACTGAATTTAAATTTTAAAATGCCTTATTTATTTGACTAAACATGTAACTACAAATATGTCTATATAGACATTTTTATGATAGAATTTGTAGATTATTTGTGGTAAATAATTTTACCCCTAACCGGCTACTTCCAGTCATCCTCTGTATATTCAGGACAGGCATGTTAATATTATCCTCAGCAAAATTGGTAAAGCAATAGTTGTAGGAAAAAAAATGCCATACCTAGACTGCCTAATCTAGATATAAACCAGATGTATTTAGTGTGCTTCCTGTTGCCACATGAATTTGTTGAAAGTCAACTTTAATTTCAACATTTGGATATAGCCTGGTAAATAAGAGTTGATTGAATGTTCTTATATTTCCAGACAATTCCCAACCATAAGGAACAGGAATGGGACCCTCAAAAACTAGATAAATATGCTGGGATATTTCACTTCCGTTTCTGGCATTTTGGAGAATGGACTGAAGTGGTGATTGATGACTTGCTGCCCACCATCAATGGAGATCTGGTTTTCTCCTTCTCCACCTCCATGAATGAGTTTTGGAATGCTCTATTGGAAAAAGCTTATGCAAAGTAAGTAGTAAGTTTTGACAAAACATGAGAAAAGTAAGATCACATTCCATTAGGAGTTCATTATCTGCCAGCTTAAGCCCTTTGATTTATTTTGGGTAAGATCTGAGTCAGATCCAAGACATTGCTTTGGGTCTTGGGTTGGCCCTAAAAAATCTTAGCTTGGAGAGCAATCAGATGTTCTGGGTTCTATTACCCCCCTGCTGTTAATCAGCAAATAACATGGCATTAGCCTTCAGTTTTCTCATTGTCTAGTATTTACCTGTAGAAAGAAGTTTCCGTATGGACTGTCCTTGGCAAACATAGCCTAAACCTAGAAATCTCTAACTATAATCTCAAAAATAACTTTAATATTATACCTAGAGAAATGCCAGATGGTAAAGGTTAGCTGGGACTGTTCTAATTCATGGGACAATATGTCCTTAACTTGGAAAAATAACTCTACAAAGATAATCTTACATATTTGTTCTCAGGTTGCTTGGCTGTTATGAGGCCCTTGATGGTTTGACCACCACTGATATCATAGTGGACTTCACTGGCACATTGGCTGAAACTGTTGACATGCAGAAGGGAAGATACACTGAGCTTGTTGAGGAGAAATACAAGCTGTTCAAAGAACTGTACAAAACATTTACCAAAGGAGGTCTGATCTGTTGTTCTATTGAGGTTTGTATTCATTCTTTACCCATTTCTGACATAGGAGACTACAAAATTTAGTAAGGAATATCACCCTTAATGTGGACATTAATGAAAAGCCATTATGGGACTTAGAAAGCTAACAATACACACTGATTCCTGGCTTTAACTTTTATCCTGTTGTCCTTCTGAGGGGCAATGTGGCACTCAAGCTGATGTAAATAGCCTCTGATAAATTATGCCTTCTGTCTCTGTTCCTGGATGTTGAAGTTATAGTTTTTTTGGAGTAAGCCAACTGCACCAAATGTTAATACTGTTAATATCAGTGCAGTACTATGGGTAGTTTGAGTTTGCATTGTTTAAGTGATTGTTATATTAAATTATTTATTTATTTTACTTAGTGTCAAGTTAGATATCTGGATCAAATTTCTATCTGCATAGGGAGAACTAGCTTCAATCATACTACAGTAAACCAATCAAGGAAGAGGAGGAATCAGGCTTTGGGTCTCCTAATTATTATGCTCTCATGTATCTTTCTTTGCTGTCAGTCTCCCAATCAGGAAGAACAAGAAGTTGAAACTGATTGGGGTCTACTGAAGGGCCATACCTACACCATGACTGATATACGGAAGATCCGTCTTGGAGAGAGACTTGTGGAAGTGTTCAGAACTGAGAAACTGTATATGATTCGCCTGAGGAACCCCTTGGGAAGACAGGAATGGAGTGGCCCCTGGAGTGAAATGTGAGTGCCAGTCCACTTTGACTGCTATATATTGAAAGCCCTATAGTTCTCCCAAACTCATTCCTTCAAACTGCTAGTGGGCTGTCAATGCCTACTGACATCTGTCAGCTCCTCTTAAGTATGGGGTCTTTGACTTAGCCAGAGATGAGATAAATCAGGCCCAATATTCATGTATTCTGTTTCCTTGGCATACTGCTTACTGTAGCTATTCAATGGCAAATATGACAGCTTGTCCTTTTTTGATTATTTGTTTTAAGTTCTGAAGAGTGGCAGCAACTGACTGCAGCAGATCGCAAGAACCTGGAGCTTGTTATGTCTGATGATGGAGAGTTTTGGTGAGGAGAGGTTTTCTGTACTAAAGTAATTGTGGCTTCTACATGTAACTAAAGAGGTAGGTATTAAGTGCCATATTATTTTTTTTCCTGTACTCTTTCTATTCAGGATGAGCCTGGAGGACTTTTGCCGCAACTTTCATGAACTCTATGTCTGCCGCAATGTGAACAACCCCATTTTTGGCCACAAGGAGCTAGAATCAGTGGTGGGATGCTGGACTGTGGATGATGATCCCTTGATGAATCGTTCAGGAGGCTGCTATAACAACCGTGATACCTTCTTACAGAATCCTCAGGTTTGAATACATTGTTTTTCTTTGCCTCCAAGTTATTAAGGCAATAGGAACCCAGGCCCACCTTGGAGTATTCCTTTGACATAAATTATTCCATTTGCAAGTATTGTGTGATATTCATCAACCAAGATGCCTAGAGAATGGCCCAGATGCTGGTAAAAATGGTAAACTGTGTTTCTGGAGAGATGTACATTAGAAACATTATCAAGTCTGAGCCCTTTCTTTTAGCTATCTCTCTCCTGGCCATATTGCTTAGTATGGTTCTTGACAACTCCACTTCCTTCTGATGTTCCCATACTGGAGAGAAAGGATCTTCTCCCAGACACTTTCTCAATTAATTTTCATTTGTTCTCTACCCAATTGTTCTCTTTTGTGCACATTTACATGTTCTCTTTTTCATAAAGGTTATTCTTTTTAACTTCATCATTATGTCTCACTTTTCTAATCTAGAACCAGGTCATTCACCCCAGAATTTGAATGGCTATTTGTCATCTATCCCTCATTACAAAGCTATTCTAGGTGATATATTAGGGTTCATGCTTAGGCATACCCCAAAGCAAAACATCCAAACATCCAAAGCTTGAATCTATAATAACCTGGATGGTTTTATCCCCAAATGTGCTGATGCGCTAAGCCACAGGATATAAGAATTCTGAATATATTGCAGCCTTACATGGGTGTGCATTTTCTTTGCATTGACCTCATTGATAGGCACTAAGGCTGGTGGCCTAATTTACTTAACTCATACTTTTCTCCATCCCTTCCATTTTTATTGTCCCAAAAGAAAAGAAAGCTCCTATTACTGCCTCCCTACACTTCTGTTTACAATCTGGAAATGTTTTCAGTATCAAGCACATAAACCAAGCTGAAGAAATGACCCCTTCGACTTACTTTTAAGTATCTGTACAAGATTGACCTTTGGTGACCTTGAAAGTCTATGGTTCTGCCTATGTTTTCTTTCTTTCTTTCTTTCTTTCTTTCTTTCTTTCTTTCTTTCTTTCTTTCTTTCTTTCTTTCTTTCTTTCTTTCTTTCTTTCTTTCTTTTTTGCTTAAGGGGTTGGGGAGAGAAGGAAGAATAGAGGTAAGAAGGGAGGGAGGGAAGGAGGATGGGAGGGGAGAGAGACAGAGACAAAATGAGAGAGAGAGAGAGAAAGAGAGAGAGAGAGAGAGAGAGAGAGAGAGAGAGAGAGAATCTGATGTCTTTTAGTTTTACTTCTCAGTGGCACCATGATTCCCCATATGATGTTTGAAAAGTCTTTGGCGCAGGCCTGCAGCTTCCTAAAACAGTGGTATCAAAACATTAGTTCTCAAGGAAGTTTATCCCTTCCAGGAGCCACACATCTGCCTGGCAATAGGTTAGCCTAGGGGAATGCTGCATTGTCAATTTAAGTTAAACCAGAATAATTTCTGTTTTTATATGTTCTGGAATTTTCCTATATATAGCTTTTACTAACAATAAGACAATAACAAAAACAAAAACATCTAATATCCTACCAAGAACTTATTAAAATAAAGCATAATACCTTTGGCATCAAATGGATAGGCATGAAGTTATCTCTCTCAATACATGCTGAATGCCATAGGGAAAAATCAAGTATTATGATCTACACTTATTAAGTCAATGGATTATCCAAGGCCTCTTTGTGTGGTCAGTGGCAAAGCCCAGAGAATAACTCAAGTCTCTGCTTTCCAAAGTGAAATTTTCTTCCCTGAAATTTGATCTGGCTTATCTAAAATGGAAATGTTAACTAAGCTCCTTGGTGGCCTCTTTCCCTTAGTATATCTTCACTGTGCCTGAGGATGGTCACAAGGTCATCATGTCACTGCAACAGAAGGATATGCGTACATACCGACGCATGGGAAGACCTGACAATTACATCATTGGCTTTGAGCTCTTCAAGGTAGGAATGTGCATTGGAGTAGAGAGAATGATGACTAATGGAGTAAAAATTAGGATGGCTTGGGTTAGGGGAATTAAGAAATGTCCAGGGGTAAAGGAAGCAGAGGACCTAGGATCTTACAACACAAAGTTATGACTTGAGAGGAATGGAGCATTTCATTCAATTTTATTTCCAGGTGGAGATGAACCGCAAATTCCGCCTTCATCACCTCTATATCCAGGAGCGCGCTGGGACTTCCACCTATATTGACACCCGCACTGTATTTCTGAGCAAGTACCTGAAGAAAGGCAACTATGTGCTTGTCCCAACCATGTTTCAGCATGGCCGCACCAGCGAGTTTCTCCTGAGAATTTTCTCTGAAGTGCCTGTCCAGCTCAGGTTGTTTCCTTGGCCAACCCTGCAAATTCCTATTTTCTGCTTTTCTTCCAAAAGAACAACTTGTTCACATTAGATTTAACTGAAATGATGGTGCTAGAAATATATTTCAAACTGAGGTTATAAGAAATTCCCCAGTGGGGCATCTGAGCTTGAAATCTCTGACCAGCTATTTAAGGGGAACAGGCCTATATCCTAACATTTCCCACTTATATTTTATCTTCTGTTCTCTGGGCAATTCTTTTATTTTTGACAGCTGGCCCTCCTCACGGTTCCTCTATTATGTTCTGAGTGCTGGGTCACGAAAGCTACCTTTTCACCCCAACTCTGACTTCTTTGATCTTTATCTGCTGGTCCTTAAAGTAAGGGGAAAGGAAAACAGTCATAAAATATAAGCCGTGTCTGAGGAAGAATGAGTTAGGTCACTCAGTAGTTCATGCTTTTTAGCAACAGTATCTGCTTGGGCAAGACTATCTTCTCATCAAAAAAGTACATTCATCATCAATAATGTGTCTTCTCTTTGATGTTTCAGGGAACTGACTCTGGACATGCCCAAGATGTCTTGCTGGAATCTGGCTCGTGGCTACCCAAAGGTAGTTACCCAGATCACTGTTCACAGTGCTGAGGGCCTGGAGAAGAAGTATGCCAATGAAAGTAAGCTCTGCAAAGGTTATGGGAAAACAAAATTTAGTTTCAATTGTTGCATGTGTAGTTAGGAAAGATGGTCACAAATGAGTTTTTCCAATCATATTTTCAGTCTAGACAAGTCAGGATGGCTCTCAACCATGGCAAAATGGAATGTAAACTCTGGGAAAGGTCTAGATAATATTTATTTTATATTCCTTTATAAAGTTTAGGGAAGCCTTAACCAGTTTCGCTCAGTGGATGGATAGAGCGTTGGCCTGCGGACTGAAAGGTCTCAGGTTCGATTCTGGTCAAGGGGACATGTACCTTAGTTGTGGGTACATCCCCAGTAGGAGGTGTGCAGAAGGCAGCTGATTGATGTTTCTCTTTCATCAATGTTTCTAACTCTCTATGCTTCTCCCTTCCTCTTTGTAAAAAAATCAATAAAACATATATTTTTTAAAAGTGTAGGGGAAAAAGGAACCAGGAACAAAAGTGTTGGGTCATTCTGGTACCCTGGTGTTATGCCCAATGTCCCAGAATGGGATAGTTTCTTGACTATGTAGGAAGAGAAATTTAATCATTGTCTTAATAACAATTGTCACTTTGTTCCAGCTGTGAACCCATATTTGGTCATCAAATGTGGAAAGGATGAAGTCCGTTCTCCTGTCCAAAAGAATACTGTTCATGCCATTTTTGACACACAGGCCATTTTCTACAGAAGGACCACTGACATTCCTATTATAGTGCAGGTGAGAATGTGAACAGGGACCCTCAGGGTGGCTCATAATCAGTATTGCACACTAGATTATCCCAAGTGCTTCCCCTATGTCTAGAATACAAAGCAAGGGTTAATCTGGGTTTTTTGTTCATTTGTTTTGTACTTAAAGACACCTCCCACCAGAAATAGACATTGACTTTCTTATTAATCTCTGTCTTAAATAGTCTCTTTTCCATTTATTTCATTATGGAAAGAAGCCCTCGTGGTCTCAGGTAACTTTAAAACCCCATAAGGGAAAAAAATATCATAAAGGAAAACATACTATGTCAGGATGAACCCCTACAGTTTGGTTGTTATTCTGACTTAATGGCTTTTCATCAACCAATGAGGTATCAGGAGAGGTCATTTTTAAAAAAAATTTTAAACAAATCTTTCTAAGATTAGCATTAGGTTCTAGCTGCCACTGGGAAAAGTCCAATCTCATAGAGGGTTGCTCACTTTCACTTTTTCAACTTGTCTCTCCAGGTCTGGAACAGCCGAAAATTCTGTGATCAATTCTTAGGGCAGGTTACTCTGGATGCTGACCCCAGTGACTGCCGTGATCTGAAGTCTCTGTACCTTCGTAAGAAGGGTGGTCCAACTGCCAAAGTCAAGCAAGGCCACCTCAGCCTTAAGGTTATTTCCAGCGATGATCTTACTGAGCTCTAAATCTCCAGCTCCAGAAAATTCTGACAGCTTTCCACCCTTTTATTTTCTGTCAGATGCCAGATCATATCTCAAATTCATAACTTTTTAAAAAAAGAAATTAATAGCAATTAACTTTTCCTTTCTTCTGATAAGTTCCCCATACCTCTCGATCCAAGTAGCATCAGTAGCTACATAACCTATATACCTCCAGCAGCTGGACAGGGGGAGGTGACATTCTTATCCAGAGATCATATGTATGTTTTCCAAGAAATATCTCTGGAGCTTCCAGGGGTGAGATTCAAGCAGGACAACAACAGTTTGGATACCCTACAGATGTCTTTGCTGCTTTCAGGTGCCCAATATATCTCCTCTGTAGAGTATGTTGAGGAAGGAAGAAGGGTGATCAAGGCCAAGCTGGTCTAGCCTGACATCCCGGCTCCTTACTGAACACTACAAACAACTCTGCAACATTGTATTCCGCAGCCAGAGCCTGCTTATAAGTCCCCAGCTTTTACCACCACCATCACCCCCACCATCATCACCACCAGAAAGTGTAGTCCTGCCCTAACCTAAGTCACCTCCCATATAGTAGGTTTTACTTTCATGTTGAGGAAGCTTCCTTGGTGCTTAATCAAGAGCTCGAGTTCAGTGAAGCCTAGATAGTGGGAAGGGCCTGATCTCCAGCTCAGTGGAAGCCAGCTGTGTGCCACAGAGGGAAAATGGAAGAAGCTGCAGTGGGAGACAAAGCCTCGGTCCCCCACCCATCCACACACACACCTACACTCACTCATGCGCATTTGGGCGCACACAAACTACCATTCAGGCCGTCAGTGGGCAAGAGGAAGAATGCCTAAGTACCACACAACCTGAAAAGATAAGAAAATCCATCCAGGCATAGTACAGCCAGTTTTGGGCCCCTGACTGCAATGTGAAACGTCCTGCTGCTGCTAGGCTTACAAACAAGCTCATTGTCCTGTGCCTCCTAATATCATTGGTACCGAAGACCCCATCTGAGGCCTTGAGGCTTTGGTTACATCCCAGGCCCCTGAAGCATTTTTATCAGTTGGAAAGCTTCACTCCCTGAGGGTGTTTGTTTGCCCTCTTATTTTTTCAGTACATCTACGGAATTTTCTCTTGAGTCAGTCATCCCAAAATGTTCTTCCCTCTATCTCATCTATCAACATTCTACCCTTCCTTTAAGGCCCAGCATAAATGCCACCTCCTCCATGAAGCCTTTTCAACCCCTCAAAATCCCCAGCTCCAACAATATTTCAATGTTTCTACAATGTTTTAAAAAAAAAACATAGTTGTAGTACCTAGTCTAGTCCAGCATGCATTCATTTAAAAATATTTTGTAGGTTTTTTTTTAGTTTGTTCATTTTATATCATATTTTTCAGTGTTACTTCTGCAGTGCCTTTACTACACTGTCTTACATAATCCAAACCACAATAAATTTCAAATTAAAAAAAGTGACCAGTTTTGACTTGATTTGATGGCAAAGGAAAGATGGCAAGAGTGGCCATTTGTTGGTACTTGTTTTAGAACCACTAAAGGTGGGGTAGAGTGGGGTGGGGTGGGGGAACTTCTTGATTCTTGAGCCAAGGAACAAGTCTGATGGGTGCATAGGCATTGGCTGTATTCTGATGGTACAGTACTCCATCCAGATTTGGGTAGGGGGAGTTGGGAAAATGGAAAAGGCTGCTCTTCTATTCCATTGTTAGGAATATTCGGGTAGTACTTGGAGTTACATGATTTTGAAACTCCTCTGGGATTGGGTTCAAAGTCAAAGGTACTGTGCCAAATTTTTCAAGGTCAAACCTCTCAACAGGAAAAAATACCAACTCCTCCCTTTCAGTATATCCCTTAGAGCTGAATAAATGTGAATACTTCACCCACTTGCTTCCCACTCAATCTGTCATTTGTCCATCTTAGAATAGGCTATGACAGAAGCTCTTCTCCTTTTTCTTGAGCCCTGCTTCCTGACAGGAAAGAATGTCCAGGCAGGGGAGAAGTCTCTAAACTCAGTAGAACATTCTTCAAGCACAGCCATCATTCCCTGTCCCTTTAACACTAGCCTAGAGATGATATCTTCAATATAGGTATAGAGCTTTGTCAGAAATGCAGTATCCAATACAAGTACTGTAATAGTTCTACATAGTCACCAGATGGCACTATGATATTACAATTAAGCTCAAAGACTAACGCCCCTCTTTTTTCAGGATGAAAAGTTTTCCCCAAGAAAAAGGTAGAAAAGAAAGTGAACTAACACTTTTTTTATTATCTGCTATGTGTCCAACTCTATGCTCAGTGCTTAATATATGTGATTCCATTTAATGCATGTAACAATCATATGAAATTATCTCCCAGTTTTTAAAGGATAATGAAATTAAGGAACTGTGATGTGAAATAAGGATGTTCAGGCACTAATCATGGTTATTATTTGACCTCTGACCTTTAAACTTTTCCATTAAAATATGCTGTCCTCAGAAAGTAGTAACATATTCCCTATATCTGTATTACTGTTTATCCACAACACTATAATAAGAACTTTGCAGATATAACAAATATTTCTCTCAGAACCTTTATCACTCTAACTTACTTATATATGCATATACTTATGCACACATGCATATAATGTTTTGGTAGACTTGGTTCTCCCAAAAATGAATCCAATACACTAACAAACACCACTAGGTATTTGATAACAACATCATGAATGAATCTCAAAATAATTATGCTGAATGAAAGAAGCCAGAAAAAAAAATAAGATGCACCCTGCCTGATTCTATTGATATAAAATCTAAAAAAAAAGGTAAGGTATTCTCCTTATACTAATAAAAGAATAATAGGCTAATTAGACCAGACATCCTTCTGGACAAAACCATGGTGGCCAGGCCAAGGCAGTGGCAGTTAGGGGCAAACAGGCCAGCAGAGGAGAGCAGTTAAGGGGATCAGTCCAGCAGGGGAGAGCAGTTAGGAAGTTCAGGCTGGCAGGCAGTTGAGCGATTAGAAGCCAGCAGTCCTGGATTGTGAAATGAATGTCCAACTGCCTGTTTAGGCCCAATCCTGCAGGGGAGAAAAGTTAGGAATCAGGCCACGTGGGATTGGGTTTAAACTGGCAGTTGAACATCCTCAGAGGGGTCCTGGATTGGAGAGGGTGCAGGGTGGGTTTAGAGACCCGCCCCCTCTGTGCATGAATTTCATGCACTGAACATCTAGTAGTAACATAAGCTTCTCATTAGAGAGAAGAAAGGAATAAGGGGGACTTGGAGAAAAATTTGGGAGTAATGATAATGTTTATTCTTTTCAACATACTCCTTATTTTGGTTGTTGTGTTGGCTGCATGTCTGCATGTGTCTTTCAAAACTCAACTTATTTTTAATGTAAATAAGTTTTAAAGAAATAAAACCGCATAACCAAACATCACTATCATCAACAAATCCTTTAAAGTTCTTATATGTATTATATTTAAATCCAGACATTGTTATAATTTCTGTTTTCAGTGATCACAATCCTGGACTGCTAGCTCCTAATCACTCATCTGCCTGCCTGCCTTGTCACCCTTAACTAGCCCCTGCCCCCTGCTGTCCTGATTGCCCCCAACTGACCCCTCCCTGCTGGTCTGGTCACTCCTAACTGCCCCCCTGCTGGTCTGGTTGTCCCCAACTGCCCCACTCTGCTGGCCTGGTCACCCACAACTGCCCCCCTCTGCTGGCCTGGTCACTCCAAACTGTGCCACCCTACCAGCCTAGTTGTCCCTCACTGCCCTCCCCCCTAGCCTAATCACCCAAATTGCTAACCCTGCTGGCCTGGTCACCTCTTACTCCACTCCCTGCCAGACTGGTAGCCCCCAACTGCCCCCTTTTGCTGGCCTGATCACTCTAACTGCCCCCTCTCTGGCCTGGTTGCCCCCAACTGCCCCCCAGCTGGCCTTGTCACCCCACACAGTCATTTGGTCGTCCCTCATTAAGCCCCCTGCCAGCCTGGTCATAGGCAGCCATCTTGTGAGGACATGAGGATCAATTTGCATATTACCTCTTTATTATATAGGATTTCTGTTTATCTGTCTTTATTTTTGAAGTTCCATTATTCTTTTTGGTGTTATTTAGATTCAGCCAAAAGAACTTCCTTTAGTACTTCTTTTAGAGCCATTAGTTTTTCTTTATCCAAGTATGTTTTCATTTTGCTTTTATTCTTGAAGAGTATCTCGCTGGATATAGAATTTTGGTTTAACAGTTCTTTCCTTTCAGCAATTTGAAAACATTGTCCCTCTGTCTTCTGCCCTTCATGGTTTCTGATGAGAAAACCAAGAATTTCAAATTATTGTTATCATATATTTTACATGTCACCTATCTCTAGCTTGTTTCACGATTTTCTTTATCTTTGGTGTTCAGCGGTTTTATTATCTGTCTAAAAGTAGTTTTCTTTTTGTTTTAATAGTTTGAAGTTTACTGAATTCTAGAATTTGTCAATTTATGCCTTTAATCAAAATTTTTATTTTATTTATTTTATTAATTATGGTATCACATAATTGTCCTCATCCCCCATTCCCATCCCAAACCTCTCCCCACATGTGCCCCCACCCCCCTATTGTCCATAGCCACTGGCTAGCCAAATTTTCAGATGTCTTAAGCAATAATTTATTCAAATTTACTTCCCACACCAATACATTTTTCTGCTTTCCTTGGGACTTGAATAACATAAATGTTAGACCTATTGACTATCTCAGAGATCTTGAGGGTTCTGTATATTTTTTTCATTTTTTACTGGGTATAATTTTTCTTTTTTTTTCAAATTGATAAATTTCTGTTAGTATTACATATTTCTCCTTTTTACTCAAATAACATCCCTGGCCCCTCTCACCCCCAAGGGCAATCCCCTACCGCCCCAGTGTCTGTGTCCATTGGTTATGCTAATATTCACGCATACAAGTCCTTTAGTCGATCTCTAACACCACCACCCAAGCCTTCTCTCTGAGGTTGGACTGTCTGCTCAGTGCTACCTTGTCTCTGAATCTATT